GGGTAATGTCCTGCCCATTATTATGGTCTGCCTGGCATCTGGAACAGGTCTGGTGCACAGTGAGAGCCTAGCAGATTGTATTCAATGAATGGCTGCTTAATCTCTTTTCCCTCCTTTTCTTAGTGCCATTATTTACTCACATGTTTGCAAGTTCCCAGGGGGAAGTAGCAACATTCCTTGTAAAATCCCCAGTGTGGGGAGCCTGGTCCATGGGACATTGTAGGTGCATCTTAGACCCAGGACCTAGGACCAAGAATGAGAATGAAGACAAGGGAGACATAGGAGGGATGATGGAATCAAGGCAAAGGGGCTGACCTTGAACTGGAGGAAGACAGTTGACCTTTTCAGGCTTACGGGGTGGTGGTGATGTAAGTAGTTGGGGAAGGCTGAGTGGAGGGGGCTATCTGACCACCCCAGGATTAACAGGTCAGCTCCTAGACTGAGGGTGTTTGGCCTCGCTACAGGAGTTTAGTGTAAAATAACAATAATAGGTAACATCTGTCAAGCATCTGTCAGAAATGGCTAACATTAAACACAGATATGAGCTCCTGTCTAATATCTGAACACAGATGTCAAGGAATATTAGCTGCTATTTTGCAGATGAGGAAACTAAGGCAAAGAGAAGAGAAATCCAAGGTTAAATGTGCAGAAATCCAGGGTCACATGAATAGCCAGTGGTGAGTGGAACCAGCGCTCAGATTCAGGAATCCAGCCTGTTCCTACTGGGCTGCACCATCTTAGAATGTGGATTTGTAAGAAGCCAGACTATGGGGAAGAGGGGGAGAGGGAGTGGATAAGGATGGCAGGGAGTGCCAGAGGGAGGGCCTGAGGGAGGAAGGGACTGGGGAGACAGATGCTCCAGGCTGTCCCTGCATCGTTGAGGGCACTAAGCTCTGAATCCCTGGGCTGGGCATGGGGCACCTGGATGCAGGGCTCAGAGATGTGGAGTCCACGCAGGGTTTAATCTGAAAGGTGAGGAGATTGCCAACAATCACTAGTAATAGCCAGGATGAAAATGGATCTGTGGGATCACCAAGCAGAAAGCTTTTGTGGGTGATTGGATGGGCTACCCAGGGGTACAGAGTATGGGGTACTGTGGAATGACTGCTTGTGCTGAGGGGAGGGCAGGCCCACCCTGCCACAAGTTCAGTGTCAGATTGGAGGAGTCCATTAGCTAAATGGGGGAGGTATCCAGGGAGGCATCGTACATAGGAACATTGAGGTAACTTGGCTAATGATGAGGATTTCAGGGGCAGCGGCACACTGCAATTCTAAGAAGCCATGACTTTGTCCAAGGAAAGCATAAAAAGAGTCATAAGGAAATAACAGACCAGCTTATCCACTCCATACCATCCCATTTACCCATACACCCTAGTCTGATCTACCCAGGCACTTGCCCATCCAGACATCTATCCATGCATCCCAAACACGCCATACAACCACCCATTTGTTCATGACATCCATCATCCCAGTGGTCTTCCCATACTGTGTCTCTTCACTGACATCTGTTGTCTCATCCATCCATCCATCCATCCACGTATGCATCCTCCATGTATGCTTCCATGCATGCATGCAACATCTATCCATCCATCCACTTACTCCTGTCAGCTCAGCCATTGCAATCTACACAATCCCCAGCTGCATCTGCTCATCCATCCATCTATCCATTCGTTCGTTCCTCTATCCCATTAATAAACCTTCTTGTTATTAGTAGGATTATGTTGATTACATATTGAGATCATAATATTATAAATATGTTAGGTTAAATAGACTATACACTCTTTAAACTGTAGCTACTAGAAAATTTACAGTTACATGTGTGGCTCACTTTTATGACTCGCATTAAGTTTCTGTTGAACAGTGATAATTTATACCATCCATCATCCATCTAGCCGTCATCTATCTAGCCATCTAGCCAGCCATCATTCATCCATCTACCCACCTATCCATCTATCATCCATCCATTATTCATCTGAGTATGCCTCCATGCTTCCTTATATCCATCCATCTATCCATCTATTTCTTTTCTCCCTTTCACCCACACCCACTTACCATATATGTCCACCCCACAGATATTTTATTGGTATCTACTGTGAATCAATGATTTTTCAGGGTCAGAAGGATAAGGCTGGGACTAGCTGAGGAACTTGCCCAAGGTAGGAGAGGTGGAGCTGGGTTCTTGACTGTAAGACCAGTGTTCTTTACTTTGCACAATGCTTGTTATAAGCCTAGCTTTCCTTTAAGATAAAAACAACAACAACAATAAATCCTTTGTGAGAACATGATGTACTTAGATTGCGAGGTGGATGTTGGAATAGGGGCTCAGGATTGCCTGTCCCCAAGGGAACCACACAGTGGGGGAGAGGCAGACACTTGAGAAACCTCTGTGAACGCGTTCTGCGTTCTGTCCTGTGGTCATTGTGAAAGGGTTATCCTTTTGCATTCGATGTTTGCGAAAATGTGAATTCTTTCAGATTCCAAAACTCATTTCCATGACAAAACTCTTGGGAAGGGAAGATGAAGGCCTGGCTTTTGCAGAACAATCTTCCAGCTGTAATGAGGACTGAAGATGGCAGTGGGAAAAGGAATTATAATTAGAATATGAAATGGGGAAAATTAATCTATTCCAGGCAGTGGCTATGAGGATGTTCTCCTGACGTTTCATGGCCATTCTTAGTCTGTTGTTTTCCCCCCTCCCATTTCTTCTTCACAATTTAAAGCATACAGAGGCTGTATGGTATATATATATATATATATATATATATAAGATTTTTAGCTGACGGACTGATAAATTATGAAAGAGGCACAGGATTTGGACCCTGTGAGTCCCTGCTTTATATGTCTCCCATCCACACTTGCTGTGTGTTTGTGTTCACACTTATGTGGATGACAGTAGGCAATGGCAGATATGTGGTGGGTTCCCCTGTGTCTGGCACACCTTCCTTTCCTGTGTGTCTGCTGTGGGGACTATGTGCCTGACATAGGCAATCTTGAGACATGCGTCCTTGTGTTTGTGCTCTTGCGCATTGCTTTGTGCCCCCCAGGGACGTGAGGCATAGGACCACATGCTCTCTTGAACGCTGAGTTTAGTGGGTGACACAGGTCCGTGCCAACATGGGCCTTGGGTGCACCTGTATCCCCCATGCCTTCACATGCCACACAGGTCGCCTCAGCACACATTGAGCAAGAATGGTTTGGTCACACACAGAGACAGAGACAAAGGTCAAATCACAGGGTCATCTCAGAGCCCTCGGGGTCCCCTCCCTCTCCACATCCCCACTCCAGAGGCTCTGCCAGTTTGGAGCTCTGGCAGAGATGGGCAAATGGCAGGTCTACCTTCTCTCTCAGGCCTCCGTTCACAGATTCTCATCCCAGCATGCTTTGGGGCACTGTGTAAGACACTGAGGGGACCCTAACAAAGGCAGACCGCAGACCAACCAAGTCCTTCTTGGAAGCCAGATGCACATTTACTCCAGCACATGTCAGCTCTTTCTTGGATGTTGGCTGAACAAAAGTGTGAATAAGGAAGCCAACTTTAGGCATGCCCTGATGGCCACATGGGCATCTGCCCATCCTCCCTCAATCCAGGGTCTCCTTTCCAGCTGTAGTGTAGGACAAGGCTCTCCCAGGGCCCAGTGGTCTCCAAGACGACTGCTAATGGCAACGCTACTCTTCTCTGAGCCTTTAACACACTTGTCAAGAATCTGCTGTGTGCTAAGCTCTGGGCGAATTGTTAGGTCCTTGGAAAGATCTAGAAAAGCCTTGATCTCTGTTAGCAGGGAACTTGCAGCCCAGTAGGAGAGATGGAGCAGGGTAAGGCAATCAAACGGTGCTGAGTCCCAGTCTCTCCATAATGGGAGGGGCCTACTCTTCCCCACCTATTTCCTTGGTTTTTAGCAGGGAAAAGTGCGTTTTCCTTGTTAGTCCACTGTGAGGGTTTAGTATTGTCTTCATAGAAAGCACGTTGCTCAGTGCCAGGATAAACATTCATTAGCGAGGTTTTGGGGGGGGCAGACGTCTCTAAGGAGAGAATGTGAACTGCCTTGGGAGCGTGGGCAGTGTTTACCAAAATCCTAAGTGCACCTGCCTGCTTAGCAAATTAACTACACGTTACCCACCTACTGTGGAGTCTTAGGCGCAGGCCAAAGAATTGTGTTCCACTAGAAAGCACTTTCCAAGGTGCTGTACTACAGGAAACCTTAGTGCCAATCGGCTCCACTTCTGGCTTTTTTTTTTTTTTTTGGTAGTCAGTAGAAATAAAGAATCTCGCAGACTTGGCAGTGCAGGCTGGCTTCGAACCATGGATCCTCAGGTCTCGTCTCAGCCTCTCCTGCCTGTGTGCCTCTTGTGCTGTAGGAATTTTCTCCTACCAGCTGAGTCTATCCTAGCACACCGTCTACAAATGGCCTTCTGCAGGGCCTGCTTGGCTGGTTGTGCCTTCTCATGTCCCATAAGGGCCATGGACGATACAGAGCCACCCCTGGCTTCATGATGTGACTAACTGTGATGCAGTTTGTGCCCCAGAACAATCATGGGTTGGGCTAGACTGGGTCTCCGGCTCCCAAATTTTGTGGGTTATTTCTAAAGACTATCCCCTCAGAAGTGCAAGCACTTGAACACGTGCCTCGGGCTCTGCTTCTGGGGAGGCTTTCTAAAGTACCTGTCTGGAGTGTAGTTAAAGAGGCTTTGTTGAGTCAGGTGCTGTAAATCGTCACCTCCTCTACCGAGGAGATCGATGGTCAGGATCCCCAGCCCACAGATGAGGACCAGACACCTGCTCATACATCGGGGTGAGGAGGGAGCAGGGGCCTGGCACCCCACAGTTCTCCCACTATACCTGCCTCCTGCTGGGGGATTCTTCCTGTGAACCAATGATTAGCTCCTCTGCAAGGTGTCTACCACAGTCCTCACTATCTGTGGTCTCATGGGGTGGGAAGAACAGGAGAAGAGCAAAGCCACATGGGGTGGTAAGGCCTGGACGGCATGTCTAGGATCATGTGATGGCCCCAAGGCTCTGGAGCTGTCAGCCTTGCCAGGTACATAGGAGTCTAGCTTTGGCTGATGGCCTGGAGGACATCGGCCACAAGGTGCTTGCCTACTTCTGGGGCGAGGAGGCTCCATGCCTGGCCAGGGTGTGAGGGAAGAGCTGGTCCTCCATCTTCATCTTCCACATGACAGCCTTGCTGACATGAGCCCTGAAGGGGCTCCTTGCAGACTCTCCCTAGAAGGGAGCCCTGCTGGAAGGGGGCCTCAGGCATCCTAGGCTACAGGTTTTTCCCTCATTCTTTCCGGCCAGCACAGTCCCCTGACCTCCATTGGTGGCTTGTGCTGCTGCCACCCCAAACATGTTTTAATCAGCACTGCTTCTTTCTGTCTGTTCTAGTTTGATGGTGACAGTGCCTACGTGGGGATGAGTGACGGCAACCCAGAGCTCCTGCCAACCAGCCAGGTGGGTGCCCCTTCCCCTCCCTCCCCCAAGTGGGGTCTGAGCTCAGGCTGGCTGGAGCCAAGCTGCTCCTGGGGTGGAGGAAGGAGGACTGGAGAGTCAGGGAGTGCAACCTGCTGCTCTTCCTCTCCAAATGTTCACGAAGAGCAGTTGAGTTCTTCAAAGCGATAATCTGGGTTCAGAGAATGTTCTAGAAATCAACCCTCCTAGCCTGGCGCCGGTGGCTCACGCCTGTAATCCTAGCTACTCAGGAGGCTGAGATCTGAGGATCGTGGTTCAAAGCCAGCCCTGGCAGGAAAGTCTGTGAGACTCTTATCTCCAATAAAACACTAGAAAACCAGAAGTGGCGCTGTGGATCAAGCGGTAGAGCGCTCGCCTGGAACTGAAGAGCACAGGGACAGCGCCCAAGCCCAGAGTTCAAGCCCCATGACCGACCAAAAATAAAAAAAGAAATGAACTCTCCTGGTACTGGTGGCTTAATGTGAAATATTAAGAACTTGTGGATACTCAAGATGTGATGTCTACAGTCTCCATGCTCAGGGCAAGTTTTGGGGGTTCCCAGGTGCCACCTGCCCCTTTCTTCACAGTGCCCTGGGGATATGCCAATAGCAGATGCCCACAGACCCATGCATCGGTGTGCAGGTTCTCTGCCTGCCTGGAGTTGGTCCACCTGCCTGGGGAGGCTGGTGGGCCTGGCTTCCTACAGGGTCATTTCAGACAGGGTCGTGAGTAGGGGGTCACTGTCCATCTCCAGCCTTCGGGGGGCACACATGCAAAATGGAGTGATGTTTCCATAAATAGATGAAAGTTAATATTCCTCCCAGCTGTGGACATCCATGCTGCTGGCTGTCACGCGGGGGGAGGGTCTTCACTGCAGGCTGTTCCTGAGAATGGACAGGTGAGGCTGGTACCACCTGCAGTGTGCTAGCATAGCTCAAGAGCTGGGCGGGACCAGCTGCAATAAAACCGAGGCTCGGGAAGAAACCTAGCCCTGCACCTCACCTCCAAGTCTGAATTGGGTGATCCATCCACCAACAGGGTGGGCATGTGTTTTCCAGGTGGGGAAGAAAACAGATTTCTGTTATTTAGTTCAGACATTTCTGGGCCTTCCTGTGTGGTAGACGCCATAGGGCCACACATAAGTGAGAGGTTGGGCGGTGGCCCTCAACCCTGCCAATAGGAAGCCACTGTGGTCCCAGGGGGTCTTCACAAAGCATTGCACTCCCTTCCCTTGCCCCAGGGCAAGGTGCCATGGTAAGGATGCCCCTTTGTCTAGCCTGTCCCGGTGTGAGCACCGGGCTGCTGCAGCTATGTTCTCTTACATTGACAGGCAAAATTCCAGGCCCTGGGAGCATCCATTGATGTCACCTACCAGTTAATAATCAACTTAGAAATGCAATCATCCTCCGGAGCTTACTCCAGAATATCTCCTGTGCCTTTTCACACAATCTTGATTGCTTTTTTGTGTGTGTGCCAGTACTTGGGCTTGAACTCAGGACTTGGGCATGCTCAAGGCTAACACTCCACCACTTGAGCCACAGCTCCACTTCTGGCTTTTTGGTGCTTAATTGGAGATAAGAGTCTCACAGATTTTTCTGCTAAGGCTGGCTTCAAACTGTGATCTTCAGGTCTCAGCCTCCCGAGTAGCTAAGATGACAGGCGTGACCCATTGGTGCTTGGCCTGTGTTGCCTTTTGTTAATGTTTAGAGCACTGGTGCTGAGAACCAGTGGAGTCAGGCCTAGCTGGCACCCTGGTAGAAAGTGTTGGCATGTCCTACCACGAGGGGAAAGTGCGGCTCTGGGGTCTGTATCTGCTTTAGGCATTCACAGAAGAGATACAGTCCTTGAGAGGAGACTCTGGGACGATAAATGTCTTCTCCCCCCAAACCATGAATAATAACAGTCTCAGCTGTCTGTGCTGCACTTCCCAGACTATAGAACGTTTCTCGGTGGTTATTTTAGCCATCTTCATAATACCACCAAGGCCATGTTAGATGCATCTGAGGCTCAGGGATGTTGATTGACTCCACAAAAATGACCTAGCCAGGGCCTCACACCAAACCCCGCCCCTGACCTTGCTCTGCCTTTGGAGAGCCCCGTGCTGCCCACTCCCACATGGCCACTGACTTGATTTACCCTTAATGTCACTTCCTAAGCGAGGTCCTCATGACCCCCAAATTCAATCAAACCCCCTCCTCATAATTCTTAGGGCACCAGATCATTTTCTGTGACTCCATGGTGGAAGGGGCAAGTCTCTCCACACACCACTTGCACTCTCGTGGGGGGCAATGTCTGGCACAAGGCAGGAAACACTGGTGTGGTGGGGGAATGTGACCCCTGCTTTTGTCTGCTTTCTTAACAGTAGAGCAAGGTGACTTGACTTCCAGTTTTTCTTGATCCCTTGTGCTGTCTATTGTCCACACACGGGGCCTCTTTGACTGAAGACTGTATGAAGCAGACATTAGGATTTGCTGAGATTCTAACTACCCAGTAGCATGAACCAACTTTCTTTTTTTTGGGGGGGGGGTCCGGTTGTGGGGCCTGAACTCTGGGCCTGGGCGCTGTCCCTCAGCTCTTCAGCTCAAGGCTAGTGCTCTACCACCTGAGCCACAGCGCCACTTCTGGCTTTTTTCTTTTTGCTTATGTGGTGCTGAGGAATCGAACCCAGGGCCTCAGGCATGCAAGGCAGGCGCTCTACCACTGAGCCACCTTCCCAGCCCCTGAACCAACTTTCACATGAGCAAAATTTGCAGCTCCATCCCAGGTATTTCTGTGCACATACCTGTCTGTAGTATTAGCGAATGACCCCAGGCTAACACATGCTATGTAAGGGTTCTACCACTTTAGCCATGCCCCTCTGTCCTTTGGTTTTGATTTTTTTTAAGATAGGGTTCCAGTCATTTTTGCCCTGAGGTGTGATTCTTCAGCCTTTACCTCCTACGTAGCTGGGATTAGAGGTGTGTGTCACCACACTAGCTACCAGGCTCCTTTCAATGTTTTCAGTTTAGCTGCAAACAAGCACTTCATGTAGTGGCTTAAAACTATTTCATGGCTCCATTCATTTACAGATTGACGGGGTTCAGCTAGGAAGGGGACGGCTCTTCAAATTGGTTGAATGATAGCAACAAATTTGAGGGCAGCCCTGGGTGGGATGAGATGGGGTTCACTGCTGTTCCAGGGCCTCTGGTCCTCCATAAGGTCAGCCTGAAGCTTACACACTAGGTGGAAGACAGCCTTGTACAGCAGTGAGGAAAGATACTGCTAGACCTCCGCAGACCTAGACTTGATGCTGGTATGTCATTACTTCTAGCTCTTTCTACTGGCCAAAGCCAGTCACAGAGCCAAGGAGTGGGACTATAGCTATCAGCTTTCGATGGTGGGGGTTGCGAAGCATTGTGGTCTTTTTAAAGATCACATGTGGGAGACACAGGGAATGTGGTTCATGCTGGTGTTGTTGGAGAATAATGCAAGACTTCTCCAGCTCCTACCCTGCTGCCCTCTAGGCTTTTCATTTGGTTGTACTGGGGCTTGAATTCAGGGTCCCTTAGCTTTTTAAAATTGTTTTGTTCAAAGCTAACTCTCTACTACTTAAGCCACAGCTCCACTTGTAGCATTTTACTGGTTAATTGGAGAGAAGAGCCTCACAGACTTTCCTGTCTGGGCTGGCTTTGAACCTCTGTCCTTAGATCTCAGCCTCCTAGGATTACAGGACTGAGCCACACGTGTGCAGCTGGTCATTAATGGCAAGAGTTCTATATAATCCTCGCTTTTTCCTGGAGTGCCCACACCAACTATCACAGGTGAATAGGTGAACAGCATGTCACTCCCTCCCTGCCCTGCCCCTCCTCTTTCCTCCTCTGTGCTTGGCTTTGAGTGACTTTGGTACCAGAATTTCCTGGACAGACTGAGCCATAATTCTCAGACAGGGCTGCAGTCTCAAGAGCTGGGGGATTGGTGACCATCAGCTCCTGGGTTGCTGAGTGAAGACCCTGTCCAGGAGTTATAAGGATTGGTCTGACTGCACCATCCCAGGTTGAAGGAGATTGTTTTGGGAAGTGGACAGGAAGTAGGCTTGGGCTTCAGCAGACCTGGGTTCAAATTCTAGCTCTTCCACTAGGAGACAGTGATTCCTGCCTCTTGGGGTGCTGGGAGAATGGAGTAGGGCTGTGGGCTCCGTGGATGCTGACCAGCCAGGGTATCCATGTCCATCCAACTGCTGTATGTTCACTGCTAACTGCTCTGGAAAATCAGCCTCTGCCCAGTAAGAAGCATGAGCTAGAAGGAGGTGTGTGGGTAGTGATCAGTGCTGTGACTCTGTGGAACTCCAGCTGGGCTGCCTCCTTCTTTAACTCCTGCCCTGCCCTATTCTGTCCTGTCCTCTCCCCCTTCCCTCTCTCCCTGCTCCCACCATCCTTTCTAGGCTGGGTCCCCTCTTAGGAATCTCCCTCCCCAGGCTCTACTTCTAGGGAATCTAAACTGAGAGTTACACAAAACACATTTAAAAACAAACTAGCTATGGCTCATTTTCATGGCTCATTTTCAGTTTTAATTACCATAAATAATGCTTTGGCGACCCGAGATGAGTCCCCAAACACCTCTGTGAGTTTACAGACACTTCCTCCGATGGGAATCCCCTTCAAAAATGTCAGTGTATTTCTTAGGGGTTGGGCGAGGAGAAGACCTGCAGCCATCAGCTCCTCATGACGCCCTCCTGGTGGTGGGTAGTTTTCCACTATCTTGGCCCTTAATCTGATTTTTTGTTTTTATTTTTATTTTTTTTACTTTTTATTTTTATTTATTAATTTATTGCCGGTCATGGGCCCTGAACTCTGGGCCTGGGCATTGTCCCTAAGCTCTTCAGCTCAAGGCTGAAGCTCTACCACTTGAGCCACAGCACCACTTCCGGCTTTTTCTGCTTAGTTGGTGCTGAGGAATCGAACCCAGGGCCTCATGCATGTGAGGCAAGTACTCTCCCACTGAGCTAACTTCCCAGCCCCTTTATT